ACTGATGGGAAATGAAGTGCTTTATTATCATAACGTCATTCCTAGTTGCCGATAGTAATGCTAGTATTTCACCGCAAGACTCCTCCCATCTCGTGCCACAAATCTTCGAGTGGCAGGCAGACTTCGATGTTCTTTGTGTTTACTAATTTGGGCGTCCTTGATGTCACTGCATTTTTTTAGGCGAACTGTTAACACCGTTTTTCCAAAATTTTTAGTCTGGCGGTAGCACCTTTAAAGTAGTTGATTCTGGAAACTCCTCAGAAATTTCTAATCACTAATATTTTAATGTTAACTCTATATATAATCTATACATCCTGGTGTATTGGTTTGTATTCGAACATGTTTTTCACCTTATCACGTTGAGGCGGTTTTGCTTTCCTGAAAAGAATCTCTTAGGCTGCTAAAACCTTGGAAACGCTGCAGTTAGGTTAAATTCAGAGAAATGATGCGTGTAATTAATTTAGCGTATCAAGAGTTAAATTTGCTTTAGGATGGGAACAATAACATTCGAAATGTACTGGGACCATGCTCCTAGAACTTGTCGTAACTTTTCGGAACTGGCTCACAGAGGTTATTACAACAACACTGTATTCCACCGCATTATTCCAGATTTTATGATCCAGGGTGGAGACCCTACAGGCACTGGCCGCGGCGGGACGTCAATATACGGCCCGGTATTTGAAGACGAAATAAACGAAGAGATGAAGCACACGGGTAAGTAATGTATGTTTCGGAGAAACGTGTTGTTACCGTTCTGCTTAGTTATGATTCTTTGCTCAGCAGCAGCTCAGGGGCATATTCTCATGCACGTATAGATATGACTATAGATGTGTGCAGTATATTACAAACGACCTGTAATTTGCAACGCACGGTTGTTCGCTCATTTGATTCATTTCCCTAATTAGGGATCAGAGACCAACTACCTTTTGCACTACTTTATTTTGTATATATGTCCGTATGTGTATATGCTTTTTTATTCATGGGCAATGCAAATTTTTATCTTTTAAACTTAGCGCTTGGTCCGAATACAGACCAAAACCATTGCTTCTTCATCTTCATCATCTTCCATCGCCGCTTCTCCTTTCGGGTTGCGGAGGCAGACGCGCCAGGCAGTGCTTCCAACGTTCCCGATCCTGTGCCAGAGTCTGAGCTTCGGCAAA